ATAATAATAATAATAATAATAATAATAATAATAATAACGTTATATATATATATATATATATATATATATATATATATATATATATATATATATATATACACAATATTATAATATTTTAATAATATTATTGTATTATTGTTGTTGTTGTTGTTATTACTCCACTGACCAAGTGTGGCCCTTGCATGTTTACCTCCAAAAGCATTGTCACCATGTGTGGAAAAAACATAAGTGTATATAAACTGATGTTTACATAAATGTTTATAGAGTAGAAACTTGAGGCGTTAGAACAGAACTCTGAATCTCTGACTGGAGTCACTGAAGCTTCTGCACCTGCATTCTCTGGGACAACTACTTTTCCATTGGCAGAACGACTTTGAAGTGCACATTGAAAGGCATTGCATCAGTAGCAACAAGAAAGTACTTTGTAGAATTAACGTGAAATAACATTACATATTTTACAATGGAATAACATACCCAGATCATTGGGTCTAGCTGGTTGCAAGCGTGTTAGAACTGTCCACTCCCAGGTGAAGTGATTAGTTCAGCACAGGAATATTCTTGGGTCTAAAGTGCATCAAAAATGACGTAGGCGTTGACTCTATGACCTCAAAATAGTAAGTAATAGTACATCCAAAAATCCAGTGCAGTGTCATAAATAATTTGATAAGAAGTGTCATAAATGTCTGTTGTAAATGTCTCCCCTGTACTTTTTTTTACACACATACAGCAGCCATTTGAGAATGATATGGTCATTACATCTCATAAAATCTCATTTAAGACGTCCGAGATCCTGTCCATGATAATGCAATAAATGTTTTCTGGAAAAATTATGTCAATATGGAAGTTGTTATTTCTTTGAGAAGAGGTGTTTTTTTAAACATTAGGTGTGAAAAATGGTCAAAGTCCTGTCAGAGGAACAGAGACTGAATCGTACTGTGTGCTAAGAGACATTATATGGTAAACACAACCTGTACCAATACGCACCTGCAGCAAAAAGGGCCACATCTCACCCGAATGGAGTATCACACTGGTGGGACGTGGGTCAGATCAGTGGTATTGCCATGGTCACACATGTGGGACAGTTTGAGTTTGGTCATTAGTGACTTTGGGTAGCTGTACATGTGTAATGAACTCCCCACAAAGGTTAGGACAGTGGAATCGCTGATTGCCACTTATATTCAACAGTAAAGGACTGGAGATAAAAATACATGTTCAATAGTCTGGGGGTGTGTGTTGTTGTGACACAATTGTGGTTGGTGGGATCTAGGGGCACTCATGTAGAGTGGTTAGGGTGACAATTGAGGACATTTACATGGTAGAGGCACAGAGAATCAAACAAACTCCAGCAGCCAGCCCTGCATACCTTAACCTCAGCGTGTCAGAAGTTATCTCATCGCCATTCATGCCTTTTGGCTTTCCAAGGAACTCTATTCTATTTTGGTTCTACTTTGCCATTATGGTGCAACCACCTGCAGGACCTGCTTGGACAGAGGTGTGCTTTAATTTAATAATTGAAGTAGACAGGCACAAAAAAATGGGGTGTGATCATTTTAATGCTTGGTGCGGGCAGCCACAGGATTTTCCTTGGCATGTAGACTTACTGCTGATTCACCTGTATTCATTTATACTTTCAGACAGGGTATTTATGACATGTTTGAGTTATTTTATACTGGGTTCTGGGTCTCTCCTTCATGATTGTCAATGACAAATAATTCATTTTCTCCTACCATTCTTTTAAACAAATTAAAACACATTAGAATATTGATCCAATTAAATATTCAGATTTTAAAATATTTGATCTCATCCATACCTTGGGGATATGGAGCTGGGGCATCACTAGATGACCATGATAGAGTGTACAGAAGTTCATCCCCAGCTCCGCTCGCACATCCAATGAACGGTGAGAGTCTGTTGCTACAGGGTCATCTGAAAGAAAGTGCTGTCCAGTCAAAACAACAGACCTTCCCAGATGAATCCAGTGACATATACATGGCATGGCAGTTATGAATGAGTCCATACTGAGGAGTTGCAGGAGTAGGTCTGGGGTCAAAAAACGGATGATTTCCATCCTCTCTGTCATACTGTCACTGAAAACCTCCCTGCATTGAATAAACTGACATATCCTTCAGACTAGATCCCCATGCATGAAAGTCCTACTGGGGACGTAGGTTTGTTTTTCAAGAAAACGATATGCAGCCAGCAGCTTGATAGGCATGAATCGATTAGCAGGAAAAGTCTTAAACACAGGGCTCTTATTATCAACCACAGCCCTATTCTTATCATGTCTATTATGGTGGTTTGGTAGTGTTATCAGCTCCAGACGTTCGTTTCTGTAATTAAATGATCATCGTTTTGTTGTCACGACCTCCAGTGGTGGTGTTACATGAAGCACAGCACTGTTTTTTCCATAATATGTATGAGAGTGTTTCCATATGTGTATATAATTCTGTACGTATGCATGTGTGTGTGCATGTGTGTGCGTGCGTGTGTACATGTGTGCATGTGTGTGCATGTGTGTGTGTGTGTGTGTGTGCTCTCTCCTAGTATCGGGATTAGCAGTGTGTCATAAGCCCCCGACCTCGAGTTTCTTCTGAGCTAAATCATGTCCAAAGTTTCCAGTACTGCTTAGTATGAAGTGATGGTCAGTCTCAGGGTCATCTGAGTAGAGGTGGACTCTGGCTAGGGGTTCGCAAATGAATCCCAGTACTGACTCTCTATCGTATGCTTTAGTTACATCACCACGCTGGTAAGGTATTAACCTGAACTCCGGGGCCAGGGTTACAGTATCTCATATTGATACCCCTTTGTGCCCTGAGTCTCAGTTTTCTCACATTAGATATAATAATAAATATTGATCAACCCTGACAGGGAAGAAAGTACACAGGTAAATGATAATGCCATACCAATGTAACCAAGATTAAACAGATCTTTTGACGTAAAGAATGCGGAGGGAGAGAAAAGGCGTCTACGTGAAAGGACATCCATTTCTCACAACCACTCCAGGAAAAAAGAAAGTTATATGAAGAATAAGTTATGGCTTTAAAAGCGAGAGGGAGGGAGAGGCGGGGAGTCAAAAGTCATGAAACTCTAACATACAGCTGCCATCACCCCTCCCCGGCCGGGGATTTGGGGAACATAATTTGCCCCCTCCCCAGAGCCATAACAAGCAGAGAGCATTGTTCAAGCGGGGCTGGTGTCGCCACACACTCTGCTGACCTGTGGTCAGCTCTGCGTGAATTTAGTGTGGGTAATTTACAGAGCCATCCCAGGGCGACGCTGACCCTGGCGCCCCTCTAGTGGGGGGCAGATGAAAAGAAAGCAGCGGTCACTCTTATGCTGAGGACAGACCGCAAGGAGCACCCCCCAACACCCCCAAACAAGATTCTGGGGTCTTGCAACAGGAGAATGGATGGGGACAGATTGGTCCTCAGGAGTAGAAATCACAGGAAGTGCAGCAAAAAGAAAAAAAAATCTGTTGTTTTCTGTTAAAAAATACCTGTTATAGACCCAGCTTCTGGGACACTGGTTTGATCATTCAGGCAGGTATATTCACTGTGTTCACTCCTCCAAACAACACAACATGTTATGCAACTTTCCTTACTCATGCAGTGCAGCACACCTTATTTTTCACACGCAGGGAAAACATTTTTGTGTGGAGAAGTGGAGAAACTGGGGGGGGTGCGTCAAATATTTTTGACAAACAGCAAAAATATTTGACGCACCCATCAAAACGGGGGAGGGAGGGACCACACCTCTGTGGGGTATGGACTGTTAATGATTGTATGTCACATTAATTAAGTAAAACCTTAAGTAAAACCTTTGAAGGCACCAAGCCTCCTTGTCAAGCAGACAGAGACCAAATACAATAAAATACTGGGAGATAAGTCTTGAGATTGCATTGAAAATCCTGAAACAATCCACAGTAATATAATCAGGGTCTGAACTTTTTTATCTGCCATTTTTTCTAGTTTTGCTGACAGAGGTGAGAATGAGAGAACATAAGCTGGATCTTGCTATGGATGAGAGAGTTGCCGGCGGGTTTAGGGTGGTTGTTTAGGAACCAGACAGTTAACCCTGAAATTCAAGGTGGAAGGGTTCCATTTTATACCCCAGGTAGGTAATATCTCTGCATTGTTTGTTAACATTAAGGTGTGTAAATGGATAATATGTATAACAAAAGAAGCTGTTGACTGTATTTTTTGACTCCCCACTTTCATTACTCCATATTTCCTCACTCTATGATGTGTAACACAACATGGTAAAAGCTTGGTAACCAGAGCTTACCAAGGTAGTGGAAATATATCACAGGTTATGTAAGAGAATCAAGTGTAGGGGTAATGCCCCCCTCTGCATTTCCACACCCCTGCCCCCTGGACCGGGCAGCCTCTGTCAGAGTAACCCAAGCCAACATTCGAACAATGTTAGGAGCTGATGCACAGAAGGGAAGTGAGACAGAGGAGGAGCCATTCAATCTAATTCCCATGGTGGTCTGAGTGATAACATAAGTGGTACTCTTTTTAGATTTTTTTTTACAGTTTGTCTTGATTTGGAGGGTTTCTGATATGAATGAAAAATACTGGGAGCTTATGGCTCAGGGAATGAATTGCTGTAGCAGTCAGACGTGATGCCATCATTATGACTATAATGACGAAACTCATGAGGAATTATCAGCATTTCTTTAATGAGGATGTGAACTCCACATAAATCAAAGATGAGCCCAAAAAAGATCAAGATGAGGGCGGCAATGTAGATGGTAATCTTAAAGAAGTTCCAGATAACACTGTTGTAACACTTTCACAGTTCTGCTTGGCATCTACCTTAAGTGGCATTATTTTAATGCAATATCACCCTACTTCTTATATCTGTATCTATCCCACTAAATTCCCTGTTCTGTTGTCAAATTAAATAAATCTTAACATCATAAAAGTTCCTTTTCACTGCCACAGTTCACTCTGGGCAAAACCATTGGAGTGCTGTTTGTATGGATTATTCCTTTAAATGCCTTGTTAGCACAGTAGGTAGCACATCAGGCTCATAATTTGAAGGTGTGAGTTTGATTCTCACACAGGGCAGCGAGCATTAATGGGATGGCAGTGTAGCATTGTGGTAAGAAGCAGGGCTCCTAACCAAAAGGTTGCTGGCTTGATTCCCTGTTGGACAAGGTACATAACCCACAACTGCCTCAGTAAATATCCATCTGTATAAATGGATAACGTGTAAAAAATTGCAGTTTACAGTATGCAAATCTCTCTGGATAAGAGAATCTGCTAAATGCCAATAATGTAAATGGATCATCAAATAATTCCACCTCACCACGCTTCCGTTGTCAGCAGCCCAGATGTGCTGTACTGTAACCAAGGCACACACTCCTCTTCCATGGGGGACGTTTTAGAATATTCGTAATCCAGTGCTCTTTGAGGGGAGCATTCATACAGCAAAATGAGCGGAACCCTGAGATGGGAGGTTTGATAGACAGCCTACAGAGGTGGCCGGAGAGGGGGCTCTGGTCCTGGGTGAGTGAGCGAGCGTGTTAAAGGTGTCTAGTTTCACACAGCTTTCATGTTAAGAGAAGTGAGATTAAGCTCCCCGCGGCTATCTGGGTCGCTTCCAGGCCAGCGTTGGGTCAATTGAAGGCAGATGTGTCCGTGAAACAGCACCATCACCTCCTCAAACCCCTCCCCCCCACCTCAGCCCTTCCTGCCTCTGTACATGGCAGCGCTTTTTCCACATTCTGGCCTCAGATAAACCCTGTTATCTTCCCCCAAATTTTGAAGAAAACCTCCACTTTCCTGTGCCTCCAGCTCACGGGACTGGTTCCACTGATATGAATATCAGTTCCCCCAAAGCGCTAAGGTTTCTTTGCCTCAGGATAGGATGTGCCTTTTTAAAAAGAGTAGTAGTAATAACGCAAACAAGATCCCTCAAACATCACACGCCCAGCCCATGACGTTGGTATTATTGTTTGTCTCAGGGAGCGTCATTTCTCCAGAGTGTGGGCTATGGCAGCTACACAGGGCTGCGACACCCTGCCATTGGCAAAACCTGACAACCAAAGTTAGTTTTTTTTCTGACGTGAGTTTAACCTGCCTTCAGTCCTGGCAGAAGAGTTATTCTGAGAATTGATACAAGGCGTCTGAAACTGAAAAAAGTAAGGCCTGTATTTATTTATTAGCCAGAGTTAAGCCAGATCATTTGCGTTTATTTGGTAACACTGTTTTATGTCACTATATGGTTGTTCTCATCTCTTTAAACCATTTTCAACAGCTAATACTGATTTTTGGCCTCTATTACACCTTTGTTCAGATCAACTTTGTTCTCCAACCTACCAAAATGGCAATGCACATTTGCTTGTATCTCTGTTTGCTATAAGGGAACCAATATATTTTCCTCTGCTTATCCACACAATTTGCTAATTTCATCCTCTTAAGGACAAATATTATTACAACACCTCCCTAATATAAAAATTGCAAAGTACAGTAGTTGTAAGGTGTTGCAATGGGATACCTCCTTGTACACACTGTAGCATACCTTCAGTATAACTCATTATTTTTAATAATCACTGTTCTTTGTTGTCATAGTTCAAAAGTGTCGCATTGTTTTTCCCATCAATTTCATGTCACTACTTGTATTTTCCTTCTATGAATCATAACGTCTGCCAAATGAATAAATGTAAATGTAAATAACAGGAGCACTCTATTTAAAAATATCTGAGTGATTTCTTCACTGATGTGTGATAGAACCAGTGGTGAGTTGATTGATTGATTTATTGATTGATTGATTGATTGATCAATTGATTTGAAATCCACTGCTTTCTGTACCGCCAGCATTGCATCCATACTACTGTCATGCTGTGGGGTTTCACAGGGGATACACAAAAGCGGACACCAGAGGCATGTAAAACAGGATCTCTGAAGTATAGAGAAGGGCGACAAGGTGTCTATGTATCACACATGGAAATCATGAAAAGAGACTGTAGACATGGATTTGTTTTGAGTTGTTTTTATTTTACACTTTAAACAGAAGGATAAACTAGACTAAAGATGTCACTTCAAGTTGTGTTCTGACAGCAAAAAGAAACAACACACATGGAGGTTAAATTTCACACTGATGCGAGGACGTTTTTGTTTTTATCTTTTTTTATGCACAGAGGTATTATAAAATGGAATAATGTACCAGGATTTAAAGTGGGAGCAGAGATCCTTAAAGTGTAGACCAGGCTTGACACAGTGCTTAAGCAGATACACCTGTAGCGCCCCCTTGCTGTACTGGCATTAAGATGAGGGAGCTACCCTGAGTTCCTTTACCAGACAATATATTATCGTCTCCTTCTAATGTGTTGGGTGCCCCAGCATAAGTATGTGACTCACCATTTAAGGAACTGAACTCTTACAGCCAGAAAGAAAGTCTGTCTGTCGAAGTGTAGGGAAGTCTCTGTCACCGCTGTCTCCTCCGCGTTGCTCAGACTGTCTCAAGTTCACCGTGTTAGCGAACCAGCAAAGTCCTCGAACAGTTCAGAAGAGTTAGATATCTCACTCACGTTCGCCAAATTCAGTTAAACAAGCTAGCGGGCTAGCAACGTTGGCTCCTCGTCAGAGAAATTGCTCCAAACTGGTCCGACCGTCAAGTATAATAACTCCTAAAGTCCACGGGTTGTGAACTTACGTTATTATATCACTCCAAACACGATAAAAATACATGGGTAACGTACACTATATGGACAAAAGTAATTGGCCACACCTGTTAATTATTTAATTCAGGTGTTTCAATCAGACCCGTTGCCACAGGTGTATAAACTCAAGCACCTAGCCATGCAGTCTCCATTTGCAAACATTTGTGATACAAAATGGGTCATTCTGAAGAGCTCAGTGACTTCAAGCGTACTGTGATAAGATACCACCTTTGCAATAAGACGGTTTGTGAAATTTCATCCCTGCTGGATATTCCATGGTCAACTGTAAGTGATATTATTAGAAAGTGGAAGCGTTTAAGAACAACAGCAACTCAGCCACGAAGCGGAAGACCACGTAAAATCACAGAGCGGGGGCAACGACTGCTAAGGCGCATGGTGCGTAAAAGTCACCAATGCTCTGCTGATTCCATAGTTGAAGATTTCCGAGCTTCCACTGGCATTAATGTAAGCACAAAAACTGTGTGGCAGGAGCTTCATGGAATGGGTTTCCATGGCCGAGCAGCTGCATGCAAGCCTCACATCACCAAGTCCAATGCCAAGCATCGGATGGAGTGGTGTAAAGCACACTGACACTGGACTGTGGAGCAGTGGAAACATGTTCTGTGGAGTGACAAATCACGCTTTTCTGTTTGGCTGTCAGATGAGCAAGTCTGGGTTTGGCGGATGCCGGGAGAATGTTACCTGCCTGACTGCATTGTGCCAACTGTGAAGTTTGGTGGAGGAGGGATAATGGTATGGGGCTGTTTTTCAGGGTTTGGGCGAGGCCCCTTATCTCCAGTGAAGGGCAATCTTAATGCTTCAGCATACCAAGACATTTTGGACAATGCTATGCTTCCAACTTTGTGGCATCAGTTTGGGGAAGGCCCTTTTCAATTCCAACATGACTGTGCCCCAGTGCACAAAGCACTGTGTGGAAGAACTTGACTGGCCCGCACAGAGCCCTGACCTCAACCCCATCGAGCACTTTTGGGATGAACTGGAACGGAGATTGCGAGCCAGGCCTTCTCGTCCAACATCAATGCCTGACCTCATAAATGCTGTACAGAATGAATGGGCACAAATTCCCACAGAAACACTCCAAAATCTTGTGGAAAGCCTTCCAAGAAGAGTGGAAGCTGTTATAGCTGCAAAAGGGGGACCAACTCCATATTAAAGTATATGTATTTGAATACAATGTCATTATAGTCCCTGTTGGTGTAATGGTCAGGTGTCCGAACACTTTTGTCCATATAGTGTATTTTCACTTTTTTAACTCATGGCTCATACACAGTAGCTCCTTCCCCACACTCTTGCCACTCTCCCCCTCTCCTCTCCTGTATTTTTACTTCTGCCTCACTCCTGACCTCCAACTCACTTCTGATTGGTCCACCAAATACAAAATATGTAAACTTACAATTTAACCCCTTTTTTTCTTTGTATACAAATCAAAGTATTATTACAGTGTTGACATCAATATGAATTTAGTATTTAACAACCAAAATATATTTTACCCCATGTAAATATTACAGCCCACGACTTAACCATGAACTTACATACTCTCTGCAAAATATGTACGAACTGTACGATATCACCACACTGAACGTTTTTAACCTTTTAAGACAAGTTATATTATATATGAACTTACTCTATTTATGAATGCATCAACTTAAATTATGACCTTATTCCCCATATCGCAACACACCCAAGACTATTAGACAAATAGCAAGCCTGTTCTCTCAGTTTAACCTTTTCTTACGTACTGTGTCTTTCCTCAAAAACTAGAGACTCCCATCCAGGAAGGATTATATCAGGGATTGAATTCACTGCTGCTGTAAAAAATGAGGGCTCTCATCTGATCTTCTGGGGTCTTCCAGGAGCCAGGCCAGAGTGAGGAATCACATTCAGAATTCCACATCCTGGTCTCTCAGAGGATGACATCATCTCTCTCAACATGTCTCCCCCTCTTGCTTTCCACAAGGCCTATACAGATGAGAACAACAAATGATGATAAAAGCAGTCATTACAGCTTATCATTGAGGTTACAGTTGCCTTAATGCCTTATAGACAAGGTGGAGAGAGTAGAAATTTTAAAACACATTTTAAAATAATTACTGCATGATCCTAACACTTAGATTACATGTTTTTTAGTTTCTCTCATTTTCAATAAAATTAATAAATAATATTTTTTAAATATGCACAAAAGTAGAGAATACATAAAGCTAGAATAGCAATATTTATTCACCAGCCCTTAACATACAAAATGTACTTACCTGAGCTCTTCTGTGCTAAAAGGGTCTTACTGCCTACCAGTAAAGTGGAATTATATCTGAGCAAGCTAAACAACACTGGAAGTGAATACAAGGCTTTGGTTTCTAATCTGAGGAAGGATGTGCCAATGGCAGA